ACAACCATCAATTCATAAATATCTAGCAGAGTAGAGAGAACGTTTTTCGACGAGAGTCCAATTCCGTGGATTCCAGTATTGTGATAAAGACACTGATGGACGAAGGACCCCATTCAGCTGGTTGATGATCCTTACCCGGGCCTCCCCGGAGGACACTAAAAAAAGATGGACTGTGGGTATTGCTAATGAGAAGAGCGGTCGGTTCCCACAGGACGACACAAAGAGATTACTCTCCTCCCCCCTCCCTCACCCCTCCCGAAGATAGTGGTTACATCGCCCACCGCGTCCATCCTCCTCTGTCCCCTCCGTCTTTCACTTAGCGCTCCAACGGCCTGATTACAGGGCGCTGTCGATCTTCCAGGATATAGGTAGGGAGGAACTCAGGAAGTGACCCGATACCACGATAACACCCGGAGGTCTACATCTTACGTAATCTACCATCTATCCACAGAACGAGAAAACAACAGAGCATTGAACGATCCTAATTCCATGTTAAATTTATTTACGATAAGGAGTTTTAAAAAAAAAATTTAAAAACCCTGGTTCATCAACGTTACACGGAAGGCTGGCTGAACAAATTTCACTTAGCCTATTTGAGTGGTTTCATATCAAAGAGGGACATCTGCTATTTTCCGAAAGCGAAGAAAAAGTCAATTTTTGTTTAATATATTCAACTCGAACTGTTTCTGATGACTTTATTTAAGAATGTTCAAGTTGAATCATGAAAACAAATCATTATATTTGATTTAAATTCTTCCCCGTGTCTGACATGTTATTATATCTTGTATTTCCAGCATTTGCTGATTGCCAACAAAAAGTTGACATAATTATAGCTAATAATAATTGTAGCAATAGCTAATAATGTTACAGAAAATTGTTGTTTCTCAACATTTAAAAAATGATAGATCTCCGTCTTTGATATTAATTAAGCCACTCATTTGGTGCAATTTGTAGATATGATGAATGATACATCATAAAAATACAAGGACTAATTAGAAATGAATTTTAATAATATTATTAAAATTAATATTTATTATAACCATTAAGATTTGTATTGAGAGCTTTTTTTTTTTAGATATGCTGTATAGGTATGTTTCTTGTTATTAATCAATTACGAGTACTCCGAAGCTAGCTTTCGGTAAAGACATCCTCATTCTTAACTACGATTCCTCAAGTCTACCGCTTCCAATTTTGCCAACCATATTCGTTTTTTTATACTTAAATCATCGATCTCCTTAAATTCTCTCGATATATCAATGCCATCTAGACACAGATCTTCCTCGATAGAATAACAAAATTTGTTTTTGTTTCGATGTCTCATTCGCCATTTGTGTCGATGCCGTTCGTTTTTCGTTCTGTTTGTTGTGTCACCCCTCATTTCTATTCCTATTTATAACACCTGAATAAATAAAGAAACATTTTAAATATAGTACCCAGCAGCACCCATATTTCTGTGGTTACTTCTTTGTAACTTTTACTAGGATAAATCCATTGTAGGAATTAACTCGAGTGAATTAATTAGCTAAAATGGGTTAAAAATCTTATCTATTCACACGGATTGAACAGGAAAACAAAGTGCCTTTTTTTTTTTTGTCGTATCTAGGCCCAACCATTAAAGAGGAGAAATCTAAACAGCTGTTACAAGGCCGAGACGGAAAAGCCTACTTGTATTGCAAGAAGGAAAGGAGGCCGTGAAGCAGATCTTGAAAGCAGTGGCTTGCCAGGAAAAAAACAAAAGAGAATTATGCTAATAAGTGCTTAATTAATTAATAACTAATAGTTATTAATTAATTAATAACTAATAATTCTAATATAGGCCGAAAGTGTGCCATATGAATTAAAAAAAACAAAACAAATATACAACTTGTTAATCAAGTATATTTATTTATTATATATGTATGTATTTTTTTATATGTATTATAAAAACGATACATACATATATAATAATGTATGTATAAATACAGTATGTATTTATAATATATGTATAGTAAATAAAATACATATGTATTTTTTTTCCTTATTTTTCTGTAAAAATACAGCATTAATAAGTACTTTAATTTATATTTAACTAAATATAAAAAGCTTTAGTAGTATTAAATTGTATACTAAGTAATATTTCAATATTATAATTACATAAATTTATATTAACTATTACGTATATTACACTTGATGTGATATTTACCTTTTAAGTAAAACATTTTAAGTTCCAGGTAGTGAAATGAAATTTAAACAAAAAAATTTAATAATCAAATTTAATTAAGGTATTAAAAGGATTTATAGATATAATTTCAGTAGTTCAAGCTATATTTTAAATATGGTAGAGGTTGATTTAGGATGATGAAATGAAAATATGTCAAGTTATCAAATATTAAAAAAAAAAGGAAGAAAAAGTAGCTTTTAAGTAAGAAAAACAAAACAAAATTTGTAATAAAATTTTTTTAATATAGTAATAAGATAACACATACTACCATTGAATCGTACACTACATAGTTTTTAAATAAATTGTTTCCATTACATTATTTGAAAATGTAGCAGAAAATATTTCTATTGTTGAAATAGAATTGTGAAAGTATTGAGGTCCTATTAAAACCTTTATGTATTACAGATTAAATTGCATAAATAAATAAAGATCCCCCTAGGAATTAATAACACAAATGAAGCAGTTTAGTAAAAAAAATAATTTATTTAATAAAAGAATACTTAATAATCAAAACCCTTTTTAAGAAGTGGTTTGACATCCCTTGATAGAGATAAGCCCTGCTGAATTAATCCTTAGTGATAATTTGTCGTAATTTGTTTCTAAACATATGTAGCAATATTTTATAAAAATAACTTTCTAGACATGTTAACTGCGTTTTACTTAGAATTTTTTTCCAAGATTTGAAACTATAACCAATGTAATGATAGTCAGACAATATTATACAGTTTATTCTAACAAACAGGAGGAGTTTTAAATGTATATATTTTATAAGTATTTATAAATATTAAATTTGGAGGAATAAATTCTTTGTGGTCTATAGTACAGTAGCTCGAAGAAAGACATGAGTTGACAAATGACATGGCTTCTTGGAGCCATCTTAGTACACACCCACTTTCTGACATCAAACTCAATCGCTTCAATATTCTTCAGGAAAAATATCTTAAACAGATAAATACATACATAAAGCCATCTTATTTCTTCTCCATAAGAAAAAGATGAAAAAAAAATATATAAGGAACATTTATACTGGCCCCACCCCAATGTAAATTAAAACTCGCTATTATAACATAAATCATTAAATTGCAAGGGTAGAACCAAAATATTTTACGAAAACTAAAGTTTCTTTACGTTTTATCATATAAAATTATTTGCAAATAAGTGTGACACTATCCTTAATTTATTTATTAATTCTTTTAATAAAATAACCATTCATTTGGACTTCTTACTTTCATAAATTTCATTAATTTTAAATGAATTTTAATTCAATTCATAAATTTTGAATATTTTCGAAAAATTATTTGAATACATTAAAGAATACTGAAAAATACATAGAAGTAGCAATAAATTGAGAAAATTTAATAGCTATTTCAATAGTTTCATTCTATGAGAGAATGGTTACGGAAGTATTCCTATGTCCGCCATTACGTAATTAATCGACTAATTTTAATAATTAAGGAACACTAGTGAAATTAATATTTCCTTGTCGAATTATAATTTAAAAAAATATTTTATAAAAGAAATAGTTAAAATAAAATATAAACCTGAAATATTATACTCACAAAGACAAAAGGATTTATTTAAATGAGTCCTTAATTTTATTTTATTTATGATACTTCAGACGAAGCTATAATTAAAGTTAATAACCGTGATAAAAGATAAACGAGAATGAAAGTACTTAGAAAAATAAAAAGGTAATTAAATTTAAGATAATTCTAAAATAAGATTTTTTATTGTTATTTGAGCAGACCATAAACTAGGCCAAAGCACAGTTTTCTAAAACTATATTATTGAAATTTAATAGTTTAAATATGTATGTATATATATATACACACTTAATTACAGTTATTTGGAGGGGGGGGGGCGGGAGGGAGAGATTTACTTTCAGAGAAGGAAGCTCCTGTTATTATTTGCAGGCCCATGATGAGGACCTATAACCAAAGGTCATGGGGTCGTACTTCCTTCCAAACTTTAGAGGTTAATTTAGGATGAAAGGTTAGGAAACTGAGGGGCTGTACTGATCGATGGCATCGGAAATCCATCTGACCGTTCCTAAACTCATCTATGAAATATAGTGTCTCTTTATTCATCGATACCTCAATGGTTCCATCGGCTTTTGGGGTCGAAGATTCAGTATATCCTTATAAACCTCAGAATCGTTATTTCTCAATTTACTTATAATATTTAAATTCAGCTTACTATCTATCTATATTTATTTATATTTTGAAATTTAAAAGTTTATTATTAGAGTCCTATCAATGGGTAGTTTCACAACAAGCGTTTTCATGTGATCGTATTATTCCTGTGTACACATTTACTAGATGTATTTTTAATTAAATACAATTGTAAATACCACGAATAAATAAATTTAAAAAAAAGTTTATTAGCCAGGTGTTTCCTTATACACGATGTCTCTGTTCTTAATGGCAAAACTCTGGGCGTTGAGTATAGACAAATTTTTCAACAAAAAAGTTCATTTGAATCATGGGCCGATTCCGAACGAAAAAGGAGTTGAGACCAATTTTGTGTGATCATGTTTTTTATTGAACAATAAGGAATTGCTCAAAAAATGTACAAGACAATAAAACTCTAAGTACACCATCGTAATGCAGACAAAACTTTGTTGGGAAAACAGTGATTAAATTTACTAAGATCGATGATAAAAACGACTTTCAGGAGGTCTAATACGGCCGCTGTAGTGCTGCACTGAATATCTCTGTACACGGAATATTATGTTAGCATTTGATTAAAGTTAAAATAAAAAAGAAAGTAAGGACACAAATAGAATTAATGAATATATTAATCAAGACAAGGGCGATGGTGGAAGAACTTCCTTCCACGGAGGAAGAGCTGGAGGAACAGACCAAAACGAAGAGCGTTGACAGAGGACACTTGTCAGTATCCCGGCGGCTACCGCTTCCAGGAATAACTCCAGCACCTCAGGAATTCCATTCATCAATTCAGGTTGCTCGTCGCTGGAATCCCATTGGTCCTTCCAACCTCTATTCGTAGCTTGCATTTTCTTTCAGGCGGTGCTACTGTGTGCGGTGGGAGAAGGAGGGGACGAAGAAAAGAGCAGGGTTCCAAAAGAGGAGAATAAATCATCGTGACAAGTGTAGCAGGAAAAATACCATTCAAAAAAACGGATAGTCCAATTTTACGTTACGGATCGCAAGGTTGAATGAGACTTTTATTATTGAAGGCATTCCTCATGAAAGAAGCGCACAGTGGGACGAGTAAGCGAAAACTCGCAACATCCATTTAAATCGTTTTTGTTTTTTTTAGCTTCAAAAACTAAATAAACTGTTTATTGACACCTTGTGGAGTTCGTGGAGTTACCGAGAATATTTTCAGTTGATAGAATATACACTTTACGCTATTTTTATTGAATAGTTCAATAGAAAAAAGAAAAGGATTTAGCCAATGTCACAAGTTTTCTCCAGCTGCCAGTAAGGCGAACGTTCAGAGTTTACGAATATGTAAATAAAAAAGGAAACGACAAGGCCAGTAGTTCTGGATTGGAGGTATAGACAGAATAATCTAAAAAAAAAAAAAAAAAAAAAAAAAAAAAAAAAAAAAAAAAAAAAAAAAAAAAAAAAAAAAAAAAAAAAAAAAAAAAAAAAAAAAAAAAAAAAAAAAAAAAAGATAGCACTACTTGAAACACCTTTTGTGTAGAAAACACTAAAGTAGATACTCTGGGTTGCATCTAAATTATTTGATTAATTATTTCAAATTGAAATATAATTGTAAATAATATTAAGCAGCTTTTAAAATTTTATATAAACCCTCCCTCCCCCTTTTTTTAATAATATACTGCTTCTAACAGTTTTTCATGCCATGATTAGAATAATGGATGAACTTTCATCAATACAATATCTTTGTTTTGTTTTTTAATTTATTATATCAGAGCACGTTTCCCACAACGTGAATTTCTACACATTCAGGTTCAGCAGGATTTCTCATACGGAATGAGGTTTTCATTTATATTTTATTTTTTCTGTAATAAAAAAAAAATAATTTATTGTTTATTTTTTTACTAGTATAGATTATTCTAAACCATCATTTATTTTTTAACCTCACTGAGTTTAAACATTGAACTAATAAGGTACGATTCTTCTTTACCTCATAACATGTCTTGACACAATATTTATGTCGAGTACGTCAAAAAGAGATTACAGCAGTTGCGGTTGGACACCTACCAAGAAGTTGAAAAGGTAGGCAAAACTAATTTGAAGCAAATGCTAAGGTTCTTTACAACTTTCAGGCCAAAACCCCCAGGTACAATACTTTAAACCTGACAAGCTTCTGAAAATAATACGGTCTCTGGTCCATGTTTGAACAATCCTCTGTAGTTCAACCCTTCCTTACAACCTCTATTTAATCATTGTAAAATTCCATATATATTCGAAAATAAAATGTCCTGATAGATGAATTGAATAAGAAGAGTGCCGTTGAGAAATCTTTAGTGGAAGTAGGACAACGGATACCGACAAAGGAACTGCGCAGATGGGTATTATGGTCCGGGCACATATGGTTCAGGTAGCGGGGGACAACCTGCGATCTTCCACCTGGCGGGGCAGCCATAATCCCGTCTGGAGGAAGGAGCCGTCAGAGAAGGAAATCAGGACATACTGTGGACATAGAGGAAGATGGATAACCAACAGGAGTAACCGGGATCTCGGATGGTTAGGACCATCTTATGATATTATGTACCAGTACATTCTGGAATTCTTCTTGAGGGAAAGAAGAAAGCTATTGAGGTAAGGAAGAAAGAAAATTCGACTAAATAACAATATATACATATATAAAGAATACATAATATCCTACAATTATCAATTCAATCCGAAGATGTGAGGTTCAACAGCATAGGCACAAATCTTAAGCTTAGATATTTTTCAGCGCATGCGCATAATAAACGTAAGAATTCGTTTATTGAATAGAATAAAAGGCTGTAAGACGTTATTGTATTGCTCTATGTCATGTACTGTCCTTCAAATATGAACAGACAATAAAAGATCTGAATTCAATCGACTTAAACATATAATAAACATAAAAATCACGGTAAAAGATTATTTTTAAAAAAGTACTAAAGAAACTTTAATAAAAAACTAGTATAAATAAATAAATATATAGATGTAGTATATATATATATATATATATATATATATATATATATAGAGAGAGAGAGAGAGAGAGAGAGAATAGAAAATTAAATTTATTCTGGGACAATATCCTCTAAGATCAACAGGTATGTACAAAAAATGGAGGTAATTTCTGCCTAAAGATCTATAACATTGAATAGATAAAAAGAAAAAACATGACATTACCAAAAATATTGACTAAAATAAAGAATGAATAAGAAAAAAAAACTATACGCTCCTAAAATATAAAATTCAATAAGTTTCCTCTGATAGGTTGGGAAAATATCTCAATAAAAATAAATAAATGAAAATTACTTCTGATATTAAAAAATATTTAAATAAATATACATAATCTTAGAATAAAAAAATAAATAAAGCAATATTGATTAGAAATGCTGAATAATTCTTAGTACATGGATATCCATAGTATGACAGTTTTATGAAGAGGAAGTAAAATAGAAGGGTTTTAAAATTGGATAAGGAAGGAGCATGTCATATAACAGATAATATATATATATATCTATATATATATATATTATATATATATATATATATATATATATATTAGAAGCATACATGTACTTATATTCCAGAATTCTCACAGAGATATATGTAATAATTTTTTAGATACAAATATAAATCAGTATAAGCTACTCCTAGATTACTCGATTTCAGATTTTTGAAACGGAATAAGTGATGGGGGAAATGTGGCTCTATAATCCCATTATAAGAAGGGCCTAAGTTAAACGTAGTGGGAAGAAGGAGGGAATGAAAGGGGAGGGGAGAGAGAGAGGTAAGAAGGGCAGTAGTAGTATAATAGAAAAGGGACAGCTGGCAAATTATAGGATTAGCAAAAGGGGCCATATGGGGGGCTACCTACACCTTGACAAATAGGATAGCCTCTCTTAAGGGATCTGCCATGGTCAGCCCTTCAATCTCAACATCTAAGTTTTATAATGAATGATGATATTTTCAATCACAGCGAATGCATGAATTTATAATATCTACACTATAAATAGATCCATTTTTCGGCTCTAAGAAGCGATATATTTTGACGAATGAAGTATCAAACGAAAAACATTATTACAACTACATTAAACGCCATTAAACAAATCGTGAATTTCAAAATCCATAAGATTTCAAGTGATTGAGCCAGAATGAATTTCCAGATAAATCGAAACTATCGCCGAAAGCCTCTTGAATGTGCTATAGTTGCCATAGGATACTTATCACATATTTAGATTTAAAAAATTAAAATTAGAGTTATCAATGGGTAGTTTCTCTACTAGTCTTTTTATGTCATTGTATTGCTACGTATCAGGTTTACTGGATGTATATTTGTTTTTATACAGTAGTGAACGATAGTTTTTGACGAAATAAAAATCTATTGAAAAAGTAAATGGGTGAGAATAGCTCTATGATTCTTTGGGCATTTCGGATAATATAGAAACAAATTTTATGTTTTTAATTAATGAAATGTCTTTAGCGAGTTCAGGGAGAAATTTGTCTTAATACTTAAATATTAAGCTGCAAGTAATGAAACTTCACAAACTATGTGTGTTGGATAGACTATTTTGATAATATATAGTATATAACGAGGGAGTTATTGTGATAAAATAGATAATTATTATTCCGACTATAACTTTATAGTTATAATAATTTAATGGTGGTTAAAACATGAATAATAAACATTTATCACAGATACCGTGCAAGTTCTGACGTGTGTCCACGAATGATAGCGGGCGGTATGTATTCAATTCCATTCATAATTTAGCAAGTATATATTTTGCAGCAGTTTCGCAAAACTAATCTTAAAATCCGGTCTAAAACAGAGGCTACTTTATAAAATATTTTTAAAAATTGTTATATCAATATAGGAAAATTTATTTATTTTATTTTTTTAAATTTATAATGAATACATTTTATGTCTCATGTTATTATGTGAAAAAGACATAGAGTCGAATACTCATGGATATATTTTTTATTTTGGTAAAGTGTAAGTGATGTATGTAAGTCGCTAATTTTCAAAATAACTCAATCGATTTTTTTTTTAAGAAATAGTGATAAAAATCGATTTTCATGTAAAACACCCAATAAATCCGATGGAGCAATTTTTTTTGTAAATGTAATTAATTAAAAAAATAATAAGATGTGAAAATAAATTTATATCCGAAACCGTCTTTTTTTTCTTAACAGATATAATGAAAATATTCTTTAAAAAAATAATCATACAAAATTTTATTTAAACGTTTTATTCTCAAAAAAAATTTTAAACAAATTAATTTTATCACAATTGAGTTTAAACAATTTTCATAGTACAATTTTAATAACTCCTCCCACCCCGAAACGTACATCATTTTTTCTTTACAAAGCAAACTTCAATAAACCTTTTTTTTTTGTCCAAAAACAAGACTTAAAGTTAATTTTTTTCCCAAAGTGGTCCTATTTAAGTTTCGATGTTAATTACTTTTGAAATAATCAGTGATTTCCGGAAATATGAGGTACAAATAAAGAATTTTTTTTTTAAATATTGATTTTGATATTACAATTGGAATATTTTATATAGTTCAATTTGATTTTTTTTTTTGTTTCCTGAATATTTGTCAACGATGATTAGGGTTTATAAATAAACGACTTAAGTAATTTTTTTTTTTTTGTCTAGAAAAGTTTCCAATTGTGATTTATGTGATTTGTGAGATAAGGAAGTACTTTCAAGTCCAGGAAACACAATCTAACATTGCGTGACAGAAGGTCTCAACTAAATCACGAATAAGCGTGCACAACTGACATACACGCGCGACAAAAATAACCTAAAATAATAAATACTCAAATACGAACAATTAAATTTATTTAATAAACATTTTACAAAATACACATATGAGAAACTAATAAAATAAAACTATAATAATAATTAAACAAAAATGTACACAATATTACGGAGATAATACATAGTTTAATAGAGATTTACTAACGATACGAATTTAAAAAAAATGTATTAATTTACTCACTCAAAAAAGCCTCCATGTGTGTCGGAAGTTGCAAATATGGAAGCGATGGCGCCCGATGCAGACACTGAGACAATCGAAGCCCGACTACGCAGCAATACAGACGAGAAAATGCAAACGCAGCAATACAAAAAGAATACAAAGAGAGTCGACAGGACTTGTTCATTCATGTCCAAGGTTCCACACAATACACCCACCTAATGTCCATATTATTATCCCCTCCATATAACTGTTTCCTGTCAGCCAATAATATTATTTCTATTCAAATATATTATAATCACCGAAAAGGAGAAAATTTGAAAAATGAATATTTAAAACGCCCATAAGTGAAATTGTAGAATATAATATAAAAAGCAATTTTATTCTGAGATTAAATCCCTTAAGAATTACAATGATGTATAGAAAAATAAACATTAATTCTGGCCATAAAAGACTGATTACATAACGAAATAATGAAAAAAATATCTAAGTACGTACATAGATTTAAAAAAAATAATAATAATAAAAAACATTTAAGGAAAGGTGTAACAAAATAACGCGGCTTTGAAAAAAAATAATACAGAAAATAAATTAAATTAATTTTGTAAGCAAACTATTTTAACTAACCATCTTAATATATATATATAAATTGGGGATTCGTTAAAAAATATAAGATATTCTGGACACACAATAGTTTGATACAAGACTTTATTCAAGTGTAAATTAAGTTTAATCAAATCAAGGAACAATGAAGGAGAACAAATAATATTAAATTACTAAAACCAAAGAAATTGCTTGAAATGTTGCCAAAACCACACAAAATAAGAAAGTAATAATAATATATTTATCACAAGAACAATTTAACCTTTATCAGTTTCTCATAACGGTACCACAATATTAAAGAAAACAGTATGAATATTAATTAAAATTATATAATAGTTATAAAATATATAGCTATAATTTTGGCTTTGCACAATTTTTTAATACGTTTAATATAATAACTTGTAATAATGGAAATGAATCTATAAATAAAATAATTTTTTCTTATTTAATCATAACGTTTATAAGCATTAATAATGATAAAAATTATTTTTTTAAACATTTAAGAATAAAGGAAAATCTTGAAAATGGAAAAGATGATAACGGTTATACTGTTTACAAGTAGTTTGCACTTGAAAACTAATATTGACATATCAAGGAAATATAAATATTATTAAATTATTAAAGTGCATTAGAATATATTAAAGTGCATTAGCAATATATAACAATAAATAAAAAGGAATGGAGTAAGGAAAAAGGTATCCTTTGCGTGCCCTTAATACCTTATTTTCTCTTAATAAATTAAATTTAGTCCATTTATTAGTTAAATATTTAATTAATGAAATCATTTATGTGTGCAAACAGATGTAATTGTTAACTTCAGATATAACAAAAAAAAATAAAAATCATCAATGGAAAATTTAAGTACATTTTAATAATGATTTTATATCAAGGTTAACCCCACCCCTTCATTCATTGTTCCTCCACACCCCTCCGAAAATTTCGAAAAATGTTAATTACAGACATGGCGAAGATAGAGACGTAGAGGAGAAAGTAGAGGAAGTGAAATGGATGTGGTCAGTTGAATGGTATTTAGAGAAATCAGGTCGCTGCTACCTCTGCCATCCGTCAAGGGAAGCCATTAATTTTTTGAGAAGCGTCTTGTACGAACAAAAAATATTTGTCGCTTCAAGAATACAAAAATGGTTTATAACAGTTCGTAACTTCCGAAAGCAGCACGTTCCAAAACTTCAAATGAATTCATAATAGAACGAAAGCTAACAGAAGAATGAACTTTGTAGTAGTAACTACTAAATAATCCATCGATACTACTGGAATTGTTGATAGCTTAGCAAAGGTCGTAGATATTTTAAAAAATAAATTGGCGTTGTCATGTATTAAGAAAAAAATATATAAGTTCAACACCTTTCTGTAAAATGATCGTTTTCTAATCATATTGATTATATTCGTTAATTCTTTATAGAACACAGTAACTGATCCATCATTTTGAATACAATACCTTCCACCTTCCTTCAGGTGCGAAAAATAGTTATCGAAATATCGTAAAAAAACAAAACAAAGTTATGCTCATACCATTTTTCATTTGTCCACTGATCGCATGGGCCAATTGGTATTAGAATATATTTTATGAAATTTTAAAATAAATTACATAAAACAATTAAAATAACAAATGTAAAATAAAATAAATATTATGACTACAACCCCCATAAAGTTGATGAGCGCAAGTATCGTTTTTTGAACAACAGTTTTACAATTAAGTCATAAGGTCAGCACCACCCTACATTCCAACACTTACTAGACACACGCTCTAAACTTCTAATTAATTAGAAAAGACTCATATACATGACTATAATAAGATCTATTTGGACTTACGGAGTTGAACTATGGGGCTCCACTAAACCATCAAATTCCTCTCGTATCCAATCCTTACAATCCAAAATCCATCGTAAAATCCTCAATACATACTTTACTAATTAAATAATTCATAAAGACCTTAATGTTGCATATGTTTCCGATTTGGCTCAATACAGATACCTATCCTTCAATAACAAACTTCATAAACATCCGAATCCTCTGGTTTCTAACCTTGCTTCCTCTTAGATTCCTGATAATCTACCAATGGGTAGTTTCTTAACAAGCGGTTTCATGTGATTATATTCCTCTGTACACATTTACTTGATGTATTTATAATAAAACAGTTGTAAATATCATAAATAAAAAACAACTGACCGTTGAAGTCACTGACCCTCCTCCCACCCCTCGGTTTATAGAGATATTTTATTTCTAAGGAGGTATAAACAGGATGAAACCTACCGAGGATTAAAACAAAATTTTACTAAGAGAATATAATAAAGTAAAAAAAATATATATATATAATAATATTAATAATAATATATATATATATGGTAATATACATGCTGTATGCATTAGATATAGTTAAGGACTATTTTTCTTCTAATAAATTTTAAAAAAAAACCCATAATTAACCGAACTTAATCCAGAACGTTAAAACTCTTAGAAGATCTGACATGAGAATATTTTTATCTGATTGAAGATAATTAAGAACTTTTAATAAAATACTAAATAAATAGCTAAAAAGTAAACAGACAAGACAACCATCGAACCTTCCGTGCCAGAGCAAAGATAATTACCTAGATCTTCCCGTTATCCGGTTAATTGCCTGCCGAATAAATCTTAATTAGGCGGCCTAATTGTATGCTCGGTTAAAAGGTCTTCTTTACCAGTTCACATCTCCATAAGAGAGGGGGGGAGGAGTAAACTTAAAAAAAAAATTGGACTAATTAATCCAAAAGCCGGAAATTATTTATTAAAATGGGAGCAAAAAAAAATCTTATTTGATGTCGCCTCATATTAACACATATATCAGAAAAAATATATAGACATTTTAGTATAAAAAATAATGTAGATATTTTTTCATTTTTTCTTTTTTTTTTTATTGTATTTATTACTTATATTTAATTACTGTATTTATTAAAATATATTAGCTTGGTAGATGTTCGTTTTAATCCTCAGTATGTTTCATCCAATTTATACATCTTTGGACATATTCAGTCTCTGTCTTCCATATCTTACATATCCAGTCTTGGACATATGTGGTGACCTGAACTTGTGTACTAGCAATTAAATACATTATAATTTAATTGTCTAAAAAAATCAAAGAAGGATTATCTAATATTCATATTTTTTTTTAAGTTACTAATATCTCTGTGATCTTATTTATTTTCGATATTACCTAAATATATCGTTTGTTGGTTGCAAAATATATTTGATGTCATTTCACTGAGTACTTAGATGAGTTTTCGCTCTGTGAGAAAAGATGGCGATATACGATATGTAAAATATTTCAAAATTTGTAGACTGAACCAACACAGTGTATCCACCAAGGAATCACCACAAACTAAATTTTATCCGCTGTCCCATAGTTACACACCCAATCCCAAAGTTATCCCATCTTACGGTGTATGATAATGTAGAAAAACGTGTAGGTTCAATTCCCTTAATTTATTTTTATTTGAAAAAAACCTAACTTTTTTTTTCTCTTTAAAGAATCGCTACAGATAAGACCTAGATTTCCCAAATGACGACAAATTAGGGAGAAGTGAGACGTAACGGTGAGGCTAGAACAATAGACGACTAGTCGAATTAAGGTTACCACAACGTTAATTTATTTTTTTTTATAAAAAGGACAATAGGTTGTTTAGTCCTGTACATGTTCACACTTTTACAGCTCGGCTGCACAATGGCCAGATTTTTTTTCATAGATAAGAAATAGGCGAGAAAAGAAAATTAATTAACTTATCTATTAGTTTAAGTAGGGACATTCTACCAGAGAACAAAATAACTGCTTCTTTAACGAAGAGAGTAAAAAAAAAGTAAGGAGTCAGACATGTACCGTATTTTTTAAAAATAATTACAGTAAGTGCACTTAATTAGCTAGAATATATTAATTTTAATTAATTCAAAAATATAAATAAAATGCATTGCAGCTATAAATTATGTTAAAATTCGAAATTCCTTCTGAACTCTGAGATATATTGGTTTTCCTATCTACATCGTAGGACAAGGGAAACCAAGCTGAGCGTAGCCGAAATGGTTAGATGCGCCAAAGCAAACCTTCTCGCTTTAATCAGCTGGCTCACCAATCAAAACGTGACCAAAGAAAATACAACAAGGAAGCAATAATGAAGCAATAAAAACCATTAAAAAAAAAGGTGAAAATTAAATATGTGTCACCAAAAACCACATGTCTCGATTTCGGACAAATACGATATACATACATACAAAAGTCATCCAAATATTTATAAGAGCGATACGAGACAGACCTCAAGAGCTCCAAACAAGTTAATATCAACGATAGGCTAATTTTTGGCAGAAAAATAATAAATCCAAGTTTTCTGGGATTTTTTTAAAAGTTAGTTTTGTTTTTTTGTTTAATTAGAAGCGATAACTAAATCAATATTTTATTTAGGTAATTGGCAATTGCTTCACTGTAAACTAAAGAAAATTTAACTAAAATTAAAATAGAGTTTGTCATTGTTAATACCATTCAAAGGGGACTTTTGAGGGGCTGAGCTAAGCTATTAAAAAAATCATATATTTTTAGCGATTTTTTTTTTATCGTCATCTAATTAAACTACAGATACCCCACTTTTAGAAAAACCTCATCATTTAATGAGATTTAAGTACATATTAATTGAGTTGAGATTAATTATGAAAAAAAAATTGAGACTCATCTGAAGTTATGTAAAAAAAAAAATTTACATCCTGTCAGCTAAAAGTACCCGTGTTTTTAGTAAAAATTACTAAAATAAATCGATAAAAAACGTTAATATGTTTTTTCAATGGCCTGTGATGTACAATAATAAATAGAAATGTGCAAACGAACTTTTTATTTATAAAAAAAAAGTTACTAACTATGGAGATATTGAATACTTGATGGCTGACCTTGGTACATTATTGAGTGAGGGGATGGTACGGGGTGACGGTCATAAAAATACTTTAATAGTAAAAAAAAAATATTTTATTTAAAGCCAACTCTTTTTTTATTTATTGATTTTTTTTTCATTTATTTTTCGTTTTCTTCACGCTCCCTTTACGACCATTATTTCATATTATTTTTCCTTTTTCTTTGCTTGAGATCGGTAGGACAAAATTCATAATTACGTTTATTATCCATCCTTCTTATTTCCTATCTACAATAATTGTTACCATTTATTTACTTCAGTTTAGGATCTTGTTACTTAGTTTACTCTGTTTATGTAGTATATTGTTCTTAATATTTCTGTGTACTTTCTATTCACACTTTTTATAATTTGAATTAGTTAATTCACATTGTTTATAATTTTTATCTAAATACTAGCTGACCCGGTCACGCGTTGCTGAGGCTCATTCTGGTTAAATAAAAAAAAAAGTAGAAAAGAAATTAGATGTTCCTAGTATATTTTATGTAACAATACTTGTGAATACGAGATATTCTTTGTTGTTCCATTCTTTGTATAGATATAGAGATTGTCTGGTTTTCCAACTCTAGAATTTGCAACATATAATTGTCTATATAAGAAGCAATCGGTCTCTAAAACTCCTACGAAAAATTACTAAATGTTTAACGCATTATACCTCTCTACCAAATCGTCCGATTTTAGTGATTTTTTTTTATTTGTAGAGAATCAAGAAATCATTCAAATAATGATGAATATAATAAAAAAAAAATGTGTGTTTTTTGAGTTATTCGCAAATATAGTTTTGAACCCATCGTAACTTTTTTTTTCATACTCTTTTCGGGGAAGAATGTTATATACATAAATTAAAAGGGCTTCAAGGAGAAGACTTTAGCCAAATTTAAGTAAAATCGCTACAGCCATTTAGGCGCTACAGTCTGTAGCGACACAGGTTTTTAGGCCGCCATTCCGAAACGAAAGTTCAGAGGGTGATTAAATGTATATAAAAACACTCCTGGATGCGATAGAAATATGTCAATATTTCAAAGAGATCGGTGAAGAAGATTCGGAGATAAGAGGTTTTGAACAAACGAACATTTACGTTTTTATTAATACAGACCTGTGACAAATTGTAATATTTCTGAATAAAGTGTTTTAATAATAAAAAAAAAAAAAAATTAATACAGACAGACTATGATTATGATTATAACTTCCACAATTTTCTAGATCCTTTTGTATCTTGTTCGTTCTAGCCCTGAAGAATACCTGCAAAGTCGGGTCGAAACGTTGGCTTTAAATAAAAGAGTATTTCCATTACTTTAGTGTTTTCATGACCACCACTATGACTATTCTTCTTTTTATAGCTGACGTATTTAAAATCATTTTAATTATTTCGATGTAGGGATGTAATACATTGCCTAAGCCCTAACAATATCGCAACATACGACCTCACAGTTAACGACAGCAGTATAATGGCTAATTATAAATTGTATTAGATAACCTTTCAGCAAACTAATAACACAGAGTGCAACAATAGGCAATTACAACTAGTAGAGATAAAAACATCCAGCGAACCACATACGATTTCCCATAGCTGTCCGCGATAATGGCAAGACTGATTGTGGATCGTAGCAGCCGGTGATGAAACGGAGTTCTTCAACTTACCTTGGACACAAGGTAATCCGCCAAAGGAATCTATCATCACAGCGGCTAACAGATAAGGGGAACAGTTGGTTATTGTATGCAAATCAAGAGCAATAAATCCTATATATATATATATCAGTTTATTCAAACCCATTTTTAAAAATGTCACTTTCATATTGCTTTGGAGATTGAAATAATATATATTAATCACAAAATAAGTTAAAATACATATAGGATAAAATACCTGACATTCACCTCGAAAAATAGAAATTTTTAATGCCAGAGTTAAAAGCCCTCCATCCTAGGGCACTGGAACGCGAACTCATACTTATTTATCTAATTAATCTTTGATCCGTATTGGCGGCCACCCCGCCCCTTAAAGAGTACTAAATGTCTTGCTAAACGAAAACATTCATCGAAATCGGACCATTGTTTGCAAAGATCCAACCTATTGAAATCGAGCTAAGATTACTCCCAAATTAGTTTGACATTTTTTAACTATATGATGCAAATTATTCGTAAGGATGACCTAGTATACCTACAATATTCTTCTCAATATTTTTTCAGCAAGCAATAAATATTTATATATTAGGGCACAATAATAATCTGATAAATACAATTAAGAAGATGCGACGTGGAATGAGACGAGAAGAGACCCAAAGACAGGCCAGGTACAAAGACAGGTAGCTTTGGCTCAAAGTGGTCACTGCCTAATGACTGTACTACTGTCCTCAGTTCCTTCTACATCAGCTCCTTACTGTCTCATTTGTTCCATTCTCTGCGCTTTTTTTACGCTCGAATTGTCAGCAAAAGGTCCTCCCAAACAGGACAAAACCATGTCAAATGTGACCTTTCAAGCCGACAAAACAAAATAAAACAGAAAACTAAATCTTCTTCTATAACTGATTACACAAACCAAATATGGACTGTTTCTTTGTTGAGACTATTCGGACGTTCTCATAAGTCAAAACGAGTACCGTTCTAGAAAGGAATATATACGGAACAGGAAGAGAATCCAATCCGAGAGAAAATGGAAAACTGAACTGTAAACTAGAGACTGAACTGTAGAGAAAACTGTAGATGTGTTTATATTTAATTATTTTTCTATAATTTTATTTGTGTTACTTCTCTATAGATGTAGTCTAAAGTTGATTGCAAAATCATTTCGTAAAACTTGTGAAACATTGAGATAGAAATAACCAAAGTAAGAAATCATCTTGACACATTTATGTTTTTTTTTAACTAAATAAAACGATAAAACGACTAGCTATGAACTAAAACAACATGTAAATTTTCGAAAATATTTAAGAAGGCCAAACATTAATAATTATCATCTAAACTCGTTAACAAGAAAGTATAAATAACTACAAAGACGTGTCTCGGAACGGACACAAATATTTTTTTTATTTGACCACAGAGCCCATAGACTAATGCTGGGGTCATTTAGGATCGTGGGAGACTTTGAACGACGACGGGGTTTTTTCATTCTTTTCTTCTTCTTTTTTTTAAAGTCGGGGCACCTTAAGCTAGAAATTAATTTTAAGGCCTAATTAGAATAATGGAGACCACACATTAGAAACCCGTCGGGGAAACAAAAAGCTCCGATAAGGATAAACACTAAATCTTATAGAATTTAATTACAGCTTGATTAATTAAAACGTTAAATGTTCCCGCTCTTTTCTTTCTATAAATAACATTAAAGGTGCAATGAATTAAAGAAATCAGTAATAAAGATTAACTTTAATTATTATACAAATTGAAGTGAAACTGTGATATCGGATTGAAAGAGGAAAGTAGTGTCCCTCACTGGAAAAGCAACAATTTATAAGTAGTAGAAAATATCATTGATGTAGTATTTAAATTTTTTTAAAATAAATAATCTATGAAAATATATTTCGGGATTCATTCTATCCGAAATTAATTAAATAAATCTAATTTAGGAAAGTCCATGCGCACTACATCTGTTGACAAATCTAAATGAAAATACGATTTTCAACACTAAGTGAGCTATGGAGCTAAATCTTCCTTCACCCCCTCCCATAAAAAAATATTATTTTTTTTTATTGGTCCATATTTGTTTCTTTGAGCAAGTACTTCAGACTTCAGCTACATAAATAAGCACGTGTCAAGAAAAATCTGTTATTCCCCAAAGAATTAATTTCGCTTTAACTATGGTTATTAAAAAAAGGTTTATCGCTCTCTCGCCCAAAAAAAAAAAAAAAAAAAAAATTAAATCCTACATCTACTTATGTTACTAGGAGCTGACTAACTGTATAGCAATCTGAACAAGAAATCATTTAGTACCACAGGAATATTGTGTTCCTCATACAAAATTATGCATCTCGTGTTTTCCTCTAATTTTTAAGATGTATGAATACATATATTTAGGGGAAGAGAAGGGAAAAAAAATGTATAAGACTAGAATTTATATTATTAAAACTCTAGCCTCAAAGGAGAAGAGGAAATTTATGTTTCCACATCTATCATAATAGTAACACATCAAACGCCAACGTGAACCCACATATTCATCAAGGAGTCAAATAAAAAATAAAAAACACAATAAAAAATAAAGTGACGGACCAGAATACAAAATGCCTAGGAACCACCTACCTGGAGATCGGTAGGGCAAATGACAAATTGTCGGAGGTCTGTTTTCGTCTGGCTCTGAATTGAAATAGTGTTCTAAGGGGAAGAGGAAGGTCGCTCGTACCTGCGCTACAGCTCAATAAGAAGAGGGTTGCGGTACCCGCTCCTTTTCGATCCCCATCTGAAGATAATTTCAACTTTACTCCCGGATATTTAATACTAAAAAGAATTAAATTTTCAGCGAGGAGAAGAGAGGTATCCCAGTCAGAAAACTATCATACAATTACTAATTTGTTATAAAATGTAAAGAATTGCCATTCCATTGTAAATCAAATTTGGAAACAACCATCATCATAAAGAATCATCAATACATGTCTTAGTTAGTCAATGTATGCGAATGCAGTTAATGGAGCATACCATTACATTTTTTTATGGGTAGCATAAAAAAACAACAACGTTTTTTAAACAAATATTTGTATTATTATTTCTTTGATATAAAATACAATTAATACTCAAAATATAGTCCATTGTATCTACCGTCATTAGCCATCTGCTAGTCAATTGCTCGATTTCAATGAACCGCAATTTCAACTTCCACAAAATTATCAAATTTTTCTCCTTGGGCCATGGATCTAAATAAGCAGTAATCCGATAGTGCGAGGTCTGGACTATATGGTGGATGAGGCAGGAGTTCGAATCTTAAATTTTCACAAATTTCTAGTCTCTTAGCTGATTGCTGAGGAGTAAGTTCGTGAAAGGACCAGTCTACTGCTTTTCTTCACCTTCCCCATGTAGAGTAGATGGGAAAGTATCTTTCAACACCATACTATCTGACAAGTTTGCGAACACATGTGGACGGATTTGACTCAACAGCTTCCTGCAGAACCTCATCAATATCCATTAATGGTCGCCAGGAGCCCTTCTTCCTTTCCAACGTTTTATCTCCACTACTAAATTTATCAAATCAACGTAGCGCAGTGCGCTGGTCAAGGACAACTTCCTGTTCATATTTAATAATTTCAAGCGTTGCTTCAGTGGCTGTGAATTTTTTTTTCCATTAATCCCTTAAAATTAAGAGAATTTCCAAGGGCACTGTCATGTTTCTCCATTGAAACAAATAATTGAACTCAGACTTTTTCTGAAGAAATCGAATGAGATAAAACAAGCTTGGAGAATGCTCTAAAGGGATTAATAAGTATTTGTAAGTACTATAATATTTACAGTCCTATGAAATCTTGAATTTAATAAAACGGTCATTTTTTTTATATACAGCCCATTACTTTATTATTTAATTATTTTATATATAATAGGTAGAGGACATAACAAAGACGACGTCCCAGTACCGTTAGCAGAGGAAGCTGAATGAAACAGAAAAGACGGAGCAGACAAGATGGAGGGGCCAGTTTCCGGTGAGTGTATCCTCGTGGCCGGGGTCCAAAACAGGCTTACCAACATCCCGCCTCTTGGGGCTGAATGCTAATCAGGTGGGCAGTGAAAGTGAGCCACTGTATCCCCCCCTTCACCTTTCAGTTGCAATATTGCATCTGTATTCGGGACCGGTCCGAGAACTCTCTAAATGGTGTTCTCTAAACGATCGTTTAAATCGAACGTTGTTCTTAATCGCCTGTTGGAAGTGTTAACGAGGACGTGTGCAGCACCCGAACAAATCCTGATGCAATCATTAGATGAATCGAGTTACATTGCTGCAACAAGTTCGATCCTTATTTGTGTTGATTATACACTGAAGTTTCAAAATTGTACATGACCTTTTCTCAGATTAACTCAAAAATAAAAAAGTCACATAAGACAATTATAGCAGAGGTATTATAATACAACCATAAAAGAAAAAAAGGAAACGCCAAGGTTCCAATTACGTCCTGGAATAGAAGATAATTGCTACACTTGGACGCAGTGTTTGTAAGAATACTCGAAGATTCAAAACAAGTCCTTGATTATTGCCTAGAAAAACAAGTCATTTCGAAGCCATTTTAATGAAAACAAATTAAATAATGATAACTAAAAAACAACATATTTTGGTTCAAGTTGTTTTTTACGTTTCTTAAAAAATGATCAATTTTATTTCAGCTATATAATAGAGTAGAGGGCACAGGCTGATTTAAAACATAAATAGATATTTAGTAACCACTAAAATAATTGACAATTTCTTAAATTAAATGTACTAAAATAATATGAAGTTATTTCATCTTGTATAACGCAGGTAGGGAAACTGATTATTAAATAAATATATTTAAATTTTTATAAAAATAATAAAAACAGCAATATGGCTGAAAAGAAGCCCTTTAGTCGAAGGTAGAGGGTCTCATATTAATCAACAGTTTACCATAACTTCCTGTTCCGGTCAACTGAGACGTCCGTCCCTCCCCTCAACAATTTTTTCATACCTACGCGTCCTCTACACATCCTTTAAATATAGCTGAATTGAACCTCGATATATCGAAGGCTGCATCGGATATGAATCGATTATACCTCGATTCATTACAACTAAATCGAGTATTATAGAAAATGTTAGTCGGCATTTCTAAAGATCCTAATATAGAAAAGGATTAACACTAGTCAGACTCTTGAGACAGACTCTTTTTTTATCAAATTATTAATTTTCCTCTAAAACTTCGCCTCATTTTATTATAATCTACATTTTTTTAATTTACGATAATTATCGAATATAAGACGTTTTAAATATGGAGATCTGCAACCTTGTCCATTAGGTACAAATTACCATTAATTAGGTACAAAAAACTCGTAAATACCTCCTTTTGCTTTCCACTTGGATCGTAAGATAATTGGATCATGAAACCGTTTCAAAATAATTCGAAACAAAAATATTGGGCCGTTTGAAATATATAACCTGGTTATTGTATTTAATGAGGTATTAATTACTCATTAGGGCTCAATTTCTTTCCGGTTAAGTCGCATGATGATTTTATCACATAATCGAGAAAAATGTGGCCTACAAAATTATCGGGCGCGATCTCTATCTCCGACATGTCAAAATAACGAGGTTATATATGCCAAACGTTTCAATATTGTTTTGTCACTTTTTAAAATTTTTTTTTTTTGGTCCAATTATCTTATGATTCAAATGGAAACGAAATAAGCATTCGTGAGTTTTCAATACCACATTAAATTAATATCTTGATAACTTTAATTAATTTCTCGATTTCGTGGTCAAATTATCTTACGATTTGAGTGGAAACCAAATGGGCATTCATGAGGTTCTAGCGCCACATTAAATCAATTTATTTAACGAGAAAATATTTAATTAATTAATTTCATGAGAAAGCCTTGAACTAATAAATTTAATGATAAAACCTTAAATTAATTAATTTAATAAGAGAGCGTCCTTTTTATACGTCCCAGAATTATGGTAAATAAAAAAAGTTGTAGGTTACGATAAGATTTCATAAAAAGGGGTCTATAACACTAGAAATATTATATTATCTGTGGGACCGTTGTCAAGTTGTAATATAACAAATATTTTATTTATATTAATATTAAAATGTTACTAAAATAGTCTTTTTATTGAATTTTTTAAAAAATTCAAACGAGGACGTCCGTGGTGGCTTTCTCCACTAAGTGAGCCATACCTGTAGTTTAAATTGTGGGAACGGGTTCACACCCACTTCATCTCTGGAATGCAGTAGCAATTAACATCTCAAAAGGAACCTATAACACAAGCAGTTTAATTCAAAAGGCGGAATTTAAAATATCTATTGTCTTAAAAAAATTCCACGAAAGAGAGAATACAAAACTCGAAAAGAGGTGTGGCAACTCGACATAATGAAGTGACAGCAATAACAGTTTGCATTGAATATGGAAAATAGGAGAAAAGGTGCAAGAGATATTTAAAATATTTGAAGAAATAAAAGTTGTTGAAAATCGGATAGGAATAGGCTACTATGAGACTATTAACTTTAATTGTAAATAAATTAACCGACGTTATGGCCAGCTATATAGACTACTTAATAGAAAATCTAAACTTCCTGTTAAAAACAAACTATTGATCTACAAGACAAAACTAAAACCCATCAGGACCTAAAGACTAGAACTGTGGGGAACAACCAAATTTTCCAACATCAAACTCATTCACTCCTTCCAATCCAAATCCCTCCGAACAATAGTCGATGCTTCCTTCTGTGTCACCAATAAAACCCTGCATAATGACCTAAATATTCCATTTATTCTTGATCTTACCCCAGGCAAGTTCTCCAAATTCCATCAGAACCTTACCCAACACCCGAATCCCGTAGCACAATCCATATCCGTAGCACCAGTCATCCCTACAATCCTCCTCGCAGGTTAAAACGGCAGTGGCCCCGTGACCTTTTGTAACATGGATATATTGGAGTTCTGGCAATGGTCAGATTCTCCACTCAAGTCATGAGTGTCTGTGGTTGTAACGCCCGTACTCAATCTAAGCTGGCTTTTAATACCAGGGAAGTGGTTGAGGAAGAAGAGCAGGGATCTTCTGAAGCTTCGCTTTCCCTCCACATGTGGGGGGACAAGTATGGTTTGGAGTTTCCATGACCAACTGTAAATAGGTATGCCTGCGTCTATTTCATTACTTTTTTTTCTTTTTTTTTTTAAAGATAATTTTAATTATATTTTATTCATTTATTTTTATTCTATTATTACTATTATTTATATTTTCTTCCTTCACTATGATATTTTATTTTGTTCTTATTTAGCTTTATATTATTTTGAAACTGCCTTATTTATTTATTTTTATTTTTTTTTGAAAGTGTACATATGGTGTGAATGAACTTTCAGAACTCTATTAGCAATGTCCTTTATTGAGACAGATAATATATTTATCAATAAACAAATAATCCAGTAAAAAAAAATTTAATAACAAAAACGTACAAGATAATATTATTAATAAAAATACCTGAAAGTTATTTCATTCATGTTTCAAGTATCACTTGATTGACTCACTATCTGACAATTTACCATATCTGCAAACTTCCTTTTCGCTCAGAATTTATACAGAACTTCCCAATGACACATTGCATACTCCCCATAGTTTTCAACAACATTTTCCTTTACGTTTCACGACGTGCATAATTATAGGATATATATAGACATGTTAAACAATGGTGCAATTAAACTTGTATTTAATATTGCTTTATGTCTGTCTCTAGTGTGCCAGTAACGTCTGCTGTTAGAATCTGATGATAAATTAAATTAAACAGAAAAAAATCCACATATTTCTTTATAATTACAATTAACAACAGGCAATATCAATATTAATCTTAGACAAATTAAACAAATATACATAATTAAATTTAAAAAATTGCAAGTGAGATCAGTATTTAATTAGTTTATTTTTAGTTATTGTACAAAGAGTGTGAAAGTGCTCTCTGAACTTTATTATAAATGTTCATTGAGACAGATTAATAGTTCAGTAACAGTAATAGTTCTCAAGTAACAAGCTCTATGTTAAAAAAAAATTCTTATTAATACATAGTAAAACATAATTTATTTATATTAATAAATAAATAAGTAATTAAAAATTGCTATACTGTAAACCAGACAAATATTACTTCAAATGAAAATAGCGTTAGTCATGGTTAAAACCATATAGAGGACATTTAAGCAAATTTTTTTAAAATTATAAAATAAAATAATAATAAAAAAGCTAAGCGAACCCGAAGGTTCGATGCCGACACCACCAATCGCTTATTACACACCTCCCTCCACCGTTCGCCGTCCAAACCCAGTCCCTTCAGATCAGCTTTAATGCAATCTTCCCACCTTCGCTTCGGTCTACCCCTCGGACGCTTACCATTCGGCACAGCAAATATTAACCTTTTAGGAATTCTCTCGTTACTAAGTCCAACAACTTTACAAGCCCATTTGATTCGCCGCGATGAAATTACCTCAATTATATTACCCGGATACAGCTCACGCAATTCGGCGTTGTGTAACGGTCTGAACTCTCCGGTTAACTCATCATTCTTCGGTCCGAATATTCTACGCAATACTTTATTTTCAAAAACCTTAAGACGCTGCTCATCCCTTAATGTAAGCGGCCAAGTTTCGCATCCATAAAGAACTGTAGGCAAGATAATTGTTTTATAGATTCTAATTTTTAAGTTCCGGGACAAGAGGCGCGAACTAAGTAGTTGTGTCACAGAAAAATAACAAGCATTTCCCGCCTTCAGTCTAACCTTAATCTCTTCTTCAATTTCGTTTTTTCTAGTTATCATAGAACCTAGATACCTGAATTTCTCTACCTGTTCAAACATATTACCATCTATATCGATATCACCAGTAGTATCGCCATTTTTGCCGCTAACCATATATTTTGTTTTATCCACGTTTATTTCGAGTCCTAGTTCTTTACCGGCTTTCATTAACGTTGTCGTATTTAGTTTTATAGTTTCAAGGTCTTCGCTTAACAGTACCAGATCATCAGCATAGCCCAGCACGGATGTTGTCCCACCCAGATCCAACCCTTTCTTGGTACGCATTACCTCCCTAATGGCATGTTCTAATGCCAAATTGAACAGTACAGGCGAAAGGGAATCCCCCTGTTTTAAACCCGAACGAACCTCAAATTTTTCGAACAGATTATTACCGATTCTAACTTTATTCAGTGTCTCCGTCAAGCACATCCTGACTAGATTTACTAATTTTTTAGGAATCCCCTGCTCGATTAGAATATTATACAGTTTCTGGCGGTCAATAGAATCGTAAGCCTTTTTAAAATCTATATACAGCTGGTGAACAATACCGTTGTACTCCAATTTTTTCTCTAATATTTGCCGTAAAGAAAATATTTGATCAATAGTCGAGCGATTCCGTCTAAATCCGCATTGGTAGTCTCGGATAATTTCCTCGGCGTATTCCGTTATTCGACTGCTTAAGATTAAAGTAAATATTTTATAACATACCGGAAGGAGTGAAATTCCTCGATAGTTATTACAAACCGTCCTCGGACCCTTTTTGTGAATCGGAATAAGAATAGATTCTTTCCATTCTTCAGGTAATTTCTCATTCACCCAGATCTTTTTAACCAACCGATGTATTTTAGAAACTCCAGCTTCCCCGCATGCCTTAATTAGTTCAGTAGGAATATTGTCGGTTCCCGCTGCTTTATAAGATTTTAATTTTCCGATAGCTAATTCAACTTCCTCTTTACTCGGTTCTTCTATCAACGGTTCTGCGCTCTGGTACTCAGAAGGAGGACACAGATCATAATTTCCCGTATTTAATATATTGTCAAAGTGGTCCTTAAATTTATTCAATATGTCAACCGGATCGGTCAGAATATTGTTATTATCTTCCCTAATTCCAGATGTTACGGACCCTACACATTTACGTGATCTGTTTATACCTTTGTACATGTCTCTTACGTTATTTTCGATTTTATTAGTTTCTATTTCAATTATTTTATTTTTAAGATACTCCCTTTTTTTATTTTTGAGCAATTTTGTCGTTTCGTTCTTTGAGGTTCGGAAGTATTCCAGATTGTCTTCGCTAGGATTATTTAGAGCTTTTAGCGGCTTTTCGTTTTTCGCACATGTTTAAGCAATCTTCATCAAACCACGGTTTGTTATTCTTATTTTCCTTTTTTCCTAGACACGAGTTACCGACCGCTTTAATATTATCCCTGATCTCTACCCATAACTTGTCAATATCCTCGTGGTAAAATTATAAAAAATATTATTTTTTTTATCCTAATCCAACTATACTAAAGATATCGCACTTTTAGAAAAACATCCCCGTTTAATAAGCCTAAACTCCATATTAATTAAGCTGATGTTTATTAGGCAAAAACTTAAGATTTGCTACGTATTAATTAATCAATTAAGTAAAAACTTAATGTGATTTTTTATCCTATCATATAGAATACCCATGTATTCAGCAAAAATTACCAAAATTAACTGCAAAGCTTTTATTTCTTGTTTTTCCATGATTTGAGATGGATAATAGCAAATATAATTGCGTAAATACATTTTTTATTTTTAAAAAACCTTTTGAAATAATTATTTTTAAAATATTTTTCATGTAAAGTGGCTATGAAATTGACAAATTAAACAAATTGTTTTTGGTTTTTTTTAATTGTATTTTTTACTGAGATCTCCATCACTCCTAGAAAAATTTATCTTAACTTAGAGAACAACCTGTATATGGATCTTTTTTTTGAACAACACTTAAAATATTGATGAGCGTTAGTGCATATAAATAATCTTATTCAATTCCTTTCTAAATATTGTATACGGAAGACTTATTCTCCGGTCAGTTAGCCATATTGAGAGCTCTCACACGATTGGTGGTTTTTTTTTCTAACCACAGTGGAAGGGAACTCGCTATTGGTTAAGGTCCACTGCCCAGCGCGGGACTAATGTGATCTTGGCGCCATTTGATATTCATACCGACTTTTGAGGTCGTGACCTCTGGATTATTCACGTATAATATTACTCCTCTATTTTATAATAATTTGTGGTTTTATAATATATATATATATATATATATATATATATATATATATATATGTAAAATATTATACAGAATTTTCCCAGAAGTATAGGAAAATATTTTAAAATGTGATGATTATCTAACAGAAACAGTTCATATAAACATTTAAATAATTAAAAATCTCTTCACAGTAAACTAGATTTAATTTACTCAAAATGAACAAATATTCTTTAGTCCGTAGTACTCCTTTTTATCGAATTATTAACATCCGGCTAAAACTTAGTAAATGGTTTCATCTCATCGTAACATACAACTATTTTATTTACGAAAACTCTTTGAATTGGGACGGTTTCAATCTAGAGATGATTTCAAACTTTGTCTATTCAATTGGTCACTAAAACATCGTAAACACTCTTTTCGTTTCTACTTGGATAGTACGATAATTTGATCACAAAATCGAGAAAAAAATGTGGCCTTCAAAAATATTGAAGCGTGACCTACACCGCTTGTTATATAGGACAAACGGCCTAATATTTAAGTAGGCCACATTTTTTATCGATTTTGTGATCAAATTATCTTACGATCCAAGTAGAAAGGAAATGGGTATTTACGAATTTTTAGTACCTAATTAGAAAGACATATATTGCCCCCCTCTAGATTGCGAACGCCCTAATTCAAAGAGTTTTCGTAAATAAAATATTCGTAGTTTACGATTAGATGAAGCTATTTACGAAGTTACAAGCGGATGTTAATAATTCGATAAAAAGGGGCCTTTACAACGGACTACTTGGTTAAAGTCATTCAAAGAGGAATTTTGACTAAGCTAAATACTGTTAGGCTTTAAGTCCACATTTTTTAAGTTGAGGTTTATTACGAAATAAGTTGAGATTTACCTCAATGTGGGTAAAAAAGTGAGGTGATTTCATATCCTGTCACCTACAAGTTGCCTCGTTTTCAGAAAAATTTATTACAATAAATGATAGCAAACTTTAATTTATTTTTTTCTTTAACTAGCATGTATAAGCATAAAGCATAGAGATACTTTTTATTTATTAAAAAAAAAATGTTAATAATAATTTTTATAATATTTACCTCAAGTGATAATGAACTGTAGTTTTTACCAAGATTTTTCTAAATTTTCCTAATCAGAATAATTACGTTTAATTTAAACCTTCATAATTGCTTTAATTATGGTTCATGAAAACGTAAATATTAGGATTAGCAACATTTAGTTGGTCAAAAATAAATATGGGTCAATTCCTCTGGGTAAAAACAGTGCAATTATCACTTTAGATGATAAATTTGTAACCTTTTTTTTTTAATTCATTCACTTTTCCCCTACCGTATCTTAATTCTACCATATGATTATTAACATATTCTGTTCATATCAAAACTTTGAATTATTTCTGTATATTCAGATTTGTACACGAAGCAGCTTTACACTACCACAACCTTCGCATATATTTCAACTTTTTTTTCTACCCTTTTCAACGATTACACAGCTCCAATCCGTTATAGTAGAGCACAAAAGGCACTGGGAAAACTCCCAGCGAAGGCAAAGCCATTATACCGAATTGGGCCATCGATAAACAGAAGATTCTTATCCCTTTGAATTTTCCGACCTTTAGGAAAAACTTTTACTTACAAACGTACTAACTTTTCCTACTGATCTGGGAGAGTTATTTTAAGTCTTTCACCTCCCTTTTTTGCATGGAGGTGGTTCTGAATTCGAACAAGGAAAAAGAACAAACCATACTATTAGATATCATGGAAGACTATCAAATAACAAAAGTTTGATTGGTAAACAATTACTTACTTATCACACTCTTTAAATATATTAATAAGAAAACAAAATATCATTGCTAGATAGATATACAACAGCTTGGCTCATCTTGACTAGAAATCTCTTGTGTTTTCGGCAATGATATTTTTCAATGTGATATAAAATTGATTTATTTTATTCAATAATTCTATATGATCAAATACTAACAAAAAGTAAATATTGATAGGATATCGGATAAATTTGCAGACAAGATATACAATAAATTTGTCTACAAATTAAATATTTCTATTTGATTTGTTTTGTTCAGATTGTGGATATGAAATGTGGCGGTCTGTACTTAAGTTCTTTTAATTCACACGATGTCTGAGATTAAAAAAGTTAGTTATTTACTTTAATTTGAAAGACTGAAGAAGGCTTTGGTTTAGAGAAATGATCTAAGAAAAATTAATGAGGATGGTCTGAGAAGTAGAGAAAATGCACTTAACACACCAGCATTAAAAAAAAAAGATAAATAAAAAATTAATAGTTTAAAAGTATATTCTGTATTCTAATATCTAGAATGCACTGGTTCAATTTTTTTAATTCACACATGTATTAAAATAATAAAAATGAGGCATTTGTGACATATAGTGTTGTCCAAAATCGGTCTAACTGTTGCAAGACTAAGATCAGGACTGGTAAAAAAAATCGATTTTCTAAAATAAAAATTAAGGCAAAATAGTTACTAATACTTGACAATCTTAGTTACTATATGTTAATAATTAGTATAACCAATATACTTTTGCATTTAACTCCTCTAATTTTTCATTCGGGCTTAGTTAGGTTTCTCCTATCTATAAAATTACAGTGATATCTCTATTGTAATAAGCTAATAAGTAACTGCAAGACTGTTGCGAGGCTCGTGCGCAAGACCAAGACTGAGTTTGCAAGACGGTCTCGGTCTCGCATTTGGGCAACACTAGTGACATAATGAAGTCTTTTAAATTTGATTGTTAGATTGATAATATAGAAAACGATCCGCAGAGGTGCAAAACGCCAAATTATGAGTAAAAAATCTTAGTATTGAAATTTCTGAAAAAAAAAAATCGAACATACTCTTTGGAATATAATATAGATAGATACACACATTTGGTGATTTTATGGTCCAACATTAAGAGGGTCAATTTGATATATAATAATCCCGGATTTATATGGCAATTATAGAAAAAGTTAATTCTTCAACAATTTAAGGACCTGGAATCATTGAAGGGGGTCCTCAAAACTCAAAACCACTTTTGGATATATTATCTTCTCGCTTAATTTCCGATGCGAACACCAATTCTCACCGATAGGGCTCAAACAATAAAACCATCGTCCTAATTGTGCTTACACCACGATACAAGCTTTAAAACAGTTTGGTTGCGCTGTGACAGCGGATATATTGTGCTGCTAGAACAGTTGAATGGATAAAGGCAGCAGAGGGTGAAGGTCGCCCGGTAGCTAGAACTGCCTTTCTAGTCCTATTATCTCTCATCTCCGATATTTTTATTAGAGTCGAACACTTCTTTCTGGTGTTAAATTTTAAATCTGAAAACATACCCGAAAACGCCTAGGTATCCTCGTATATCGCTATGATAAAATAGAAATATCCGTAATGAACTCACCTGAATTTTAGCTATTCCTAAAAAAATGCAAATTACAACTTCATTCCACAGGCGGGCATTGTTCCACTATCTTGGATATACCTTTGGAAGAAGAATGGTTTGGGGTACACACCTTACATACTATGTTCTATCTGCCAACACACTATATCTACCAACGATTTTATATTAATTTACAGGAACATACAGACTAATAAGAAATATGGCTACTGCTGATATGCATATGAATACAAGGAAAATAAAAAAGCAATGGATGGAAGATCTCCATTCTAAATTAATCATGATAACTCAAGTCAGGTTCCATGAGGATCCTCCTTCATGGAATAAACGCCATTTCATACGTTTGTCAGCCCATGAGCTGATCGTTCAAGGTTAATCCGCAGCAAATTTAGGGAGCGGTGCAGACGAGCGGAATTTGAAGTCCGGCATTGATTCCCTGCCCTCTCCCCTGGCTAGTGAAACAGGCAAGGAAGGAGTGAAAAAAGTGCAAATTTCCACTCTGATTTGAAGAACAATCCTTACAGTATGCAATAAAAGACAAGGTAGACGAGTAACAAAAAAAAGAAAAAAGAAATGAAAAGGTAGAAATCGTTTGAAAAAAATATTATAACAATAAAAAAAAAGAGAAAAACTTATCAGACTCCTTTATGAAATTCTAAACCTCTCACTATACCAATACCCAATACAAGACGCTCTAGAATGTGATTTGTTGGTCCAACCATTCGAAACCCTTACCACTTTTAAATCCCGACTAATCAATCATCTCCTAGCCACACAGTTCCTCACTCAAGAATAATTAACATATGTTAACCTATACTCGTAAAAAAGAACTATACAAATAAACGTACTTTGAACTATTTATTGAAGGAAGTTAGTCGACTATTCTACATATCATGAGTGATAAATATTCAGGACGCAGTCTTCTATTAAAAAAAATAATTTTAATTTTTGATTTATGCCTACGTTTCAACCCAAACATTTGGGTCATCTTCAGAAAGTGGTTTGAGCACTGATGGTGTTCAAGTAGTGAACTAATGAAGTACTGAAATAGTAAAATGTTAAAAGTATATTTATGTTTGCACAGTTCAATTAAACGACGACATAGATAAACTAAAATTGGATACGATATCATTCTATAATAGATTTTATCCGGCAACAGGCATTGTGAGGACTCGGAGAAAATATTCTTTTAGTTTACTTTATAAAAAAAAATAAATCAAGTAAAAAGTGATGATTGTTAAAAAGCGCGGCGGAGTTGACAGAAGGATTTGAAAAATGTCTGAATTGAGCGTATCTAACGTAGGTATAGATCAGAACTGGCGATGCCGCCCATGTCAGATTCGGCATTTCGTCTTTTCTGTTTTGTTGTTTTTTATTTAGTTTTTCCTCCTCGGTGTTGTTCCATCTTCCTCATCGCGTCCAGGGCATTCTTTCCGCTAGCGGTCCGCTACTTTCGCAAGAGATTCTTTAAGAGTTTTTTGCAGCAGTTCATCGGTAACGTTATGTCTCTGCTTGAAAGTGATATTTTCCGAAGACCGTGCAATACAAATTAATGTTGTTGTTTTTTTGTAAGCATTGTATTTGTGCAGCAGTTTAAAAAAACATTTGTACTCAAATTGAAAAATCATTACCATTATACATTTCTCCCAATGATGTAACATTACTGTTATGCAGCTGTTCACAAGTCTGGAATCTCAGTGTTGATAAACTTTTTATAAGATTGCCACATTAACATAAGACACATATACAATTTTAACATCTAAGGAACAAATTTCCTTTTTCCTTTATAACTGTTTTTTTTTTAAACCCTTTATCATACGTGCTACCTTGTTTTGAAATTCCTTATATACTTTCATACGCAAATCCTCATCCTTAACCTCATTTATTTTTCCATATCCTCTGCAAAAGGCGGTAAAATTGTAATGGAATTAAAATAAATTTGATTTTTTGATGCTCGTTCTTGGTTAATGGTACGACTACTAAAAGACCTAACTATGGCTATTGCTAAATCAAACAAGTGGCTATATTAAGATATGGATTTCCGAAATCCTATCTAAACGCAAATATCGGAGACTTTTCAACATTACGAATACATGTAAGAATAATATTTTTATACTTAAGTAGTGTCAGCCTCATTTTAATGGTATCTTACATATACATATAGATAATCTACATTGTTTATTTAGTACAAATATGTGAACACAATCATATATATTTATCTATGTATTCAAATGTTTACTTGTGTTTTCCTTCATTTTAATTTTAAGGCTCGACACAACTACGTATTTGTATTAAATCTCGTTTTTTAATGCCAGACAAACATAATCATTCTTTATATTATAATCATTCTAAGAGGACTAAATATTTTTCCTTGGCTTTATTCTATTTCCATAATAGACCAAAATATTTGTACAAATTGCTTTGCTACGGCCTATTTTTAAAAGCCGACTGAAAAGATAATAAAAGTAATAAAGACAAAATAATAGCCCGATCATTGGGCTTTCTAAATTAATAAAAAATATAAAATGTAAGAACAGACAAATGCCTTTAAGAAATAATAAATTTAATACATCAGCTAGGAAAAAAAATTGTAGTAAAATGTTCTACTCCTAAATGCGATATTTTTAAAGAGGAAAATATTATTTAGTATACCAAAACTAATGGACTGTGTCATTGTTAATAATTGTCCGATTTTTGTTGTTGTTGTTGTTTTGCAGATAATTTAGTAATATTTCTTATTATCATGGGTACAATCGAGAAAAAAATGCACACTTTTTGAGTTATTCGCGAATAAAGTTTCTTTTCCTTCATAACTTTTTTTCCAGAAATGTCGAGGGGATAGGACTATATTTCGCATGTGAAGGAGAAGAATATATCTTCAAAATGAGTGGTCAATCGTTGGATTTGATGAAGAAGTTGATGAAGAAAAAAAAACACCTTTTAGAAATAATATATAGGATAGTTATAAATTATACATTTTTAATATTTGTGTCCCCAGACATATTGGTCAGGGAAAACTATTATTAGATGAGGAAAAGCCAGGGAATTTTACTTCAACTGTCTGGTAGCCACCCTGTTATTCTTGGGGGGGGGGGCAGAAAGTACCTTCCTCCCTCCCTCCAAAGTTTCGGCACTTCCAGTATTCCAGTTATATTCCAGTTGTGGGGTAACCACCCCCTCCTGATGATA